CCCCAAAACCCCAAAACCCCAAAACCCCAAAACCCCAAAACCCCAAAACCCCATTAATTTCTGTAAATTTGAAATTTAGCTAGAAATCCTTTCTCCCAGTTCAGTGATGTTACTCTCTTGATAAGCCTGAGTGTAATTCTCCTTAAAATTGATGATTACTGACTTCAGCCAATTAACTAAGGTTGGGTCCTCATTGGTGTTAATGATTTCTTCAGCAATTCTTTTAAATTCTTCTTTACAAGCATCAAATTCATTTGAGTAAAGAACATCCAAAGTCTTTGGGAAAGTTTTCATTGATTCCTCAAAGATCAAGAACTTGAGCTGATCTGTACTGAAGAATCTCTCGAATAATACTCTTAGAGCTTCAATGTAGATGTCTTGGTCGCATATAGCTACAAATAGATATTCCTTGAGCTTTTGGAAAATTTTGAACCAACTATCATGAGTTTTTGGTACCATTTGTTGTTCTGTGGCAAAAAGAATAAGTTCCATATGAATTCCTTCAAGACTTTCTAGCTCATTCTCAATAATATAATCAGCGAGGGCTCTTGCCACATTGACTCTGTCGAGTCAATCTGGATTATTTACTACTTTGTACTCATCAGAATTAGATGCTAGAGAAAGGTAAAATTCTTTCCCTATCATATTTTCATCTTGGCCTAGAACAATCATTTTGTTTTCAGGATCAAGGCCAAGGAAAGTCTCAACATAAGGTCTGTACAGAACTTTGAAATCGTTCAGCACTGATTGGAGTTCGTAGATGCCTAACTTCTGGACACTTCTGGGAGCATAAGGATTAAAACACAGGTTAATAATGTCTAAATTATCACTGATCAGCTGCTTAGCATAGTTTCTGTCGATGTTAAGATCCTTCCCTGGTGCATTTACATTGATCTGTTGGGCATCCTTGTTTCCTCCTGAGGTATCATCTTTTGATGACTTCAGCAAGTAGCTGTATTTCCTTAAGTATTTTAAAATATTTCAAGAGAACAATAAGCATTGTGCTTTAATTTCCCAATGGTTTGATTTTGCTAGCCCTTTGATCTTCTGTGTTACATCAAGAATCCCATCAGCATGGTGACGACAGATTGTATTAATGATCTTCAAAGAGAATACTCTAATGGAAGGCCTTGACCTACTTAGCCCAACAAGTGCTGAGAAGTAGAAAGAGTCAAACCAGTCTTCATTAAATGTTTCTTCTTGATCCACAAGGTATGATAACATTCTGTACATAAAGTCTTCATCCTTGATTCGAGATTTGAGATCCTGTACTACCTTAATCCTTAGGGATAGATCATGAGAGGAGTGGGCATAGATCAACTCAGCCACAGAGGCTCTCTTGTTGATCTCTATTTTAGCAATTTGTAAATATGCTTTTAGTAGATGGAATAGGAAAAAACTCTGAAATTCTTCTTGTGGACTATCTGAATCCTCAACAATACGGTTGGCCAATTGCTTGCTGAATGCCAGAGTAGCAGCAAAGCTTGGAGATAACTCATGTAGCCTCTTTAGCATAATGATTATGTAACTATAAAAAGCTGAAAGATCATTCACACTTTGGTACAAAGTACTGGTTAGATGATCGAGGTCAGCTTCCATTTCTTGGATAAATCCGATTACAAATTCATCTGAGAATTTATCGATATTGTCAAAGAAGGCAGTGACCATATCTCCTTCAACCCTTATTGCCGAGAACTCATTGTTTTCATCATTTTCATTCTTAGCCAAGATTATTTCATGAAGGATGTCTGTAATGCTCTTCTTTATTTGTCTTTCCTCTCTCATAGTCTCTGGTGAAAGAATTCTTGAGGCACCATCTCCCGCACCCAAAAAGTTTTGAGACCCATTCTGGGACATATTCATCTGACTTTGGTTCTCAGAATTCTGCATCTTTGCATTTTGTGAATGCAAGCTATTGAGTTCCTTATGAGCACGAATCTGAGCAACACTCTGATTGATGGCCTTAATCTGGATGTCCTTTACTTCAACTGCCTTGTAAGAATCAAGCTCTAGAGTCTGAGGAATGGTCCTTTGTGGTCCCTTTGTAATCGCAAGAGATTTCTGAGGACTTCTTGAAGTACTTTCCTTCATGATAGATTGCTCTTGTTTTGTGTCCTCTTGATCTGGATCAAATACATCCAGATCATTTCTAGGCAACTTAACCATTTCTCTTTCTTTAAGTAATAAACTCTGCTGCTCTTGAGCATCTGTATCGTAGACCTTTATAGGTGGCATGAGTGCTCTTTCAGTCAATAGGGTGTAAACCTGCTTAACAAACTCAATAGTTGAGTTATTATCATTATTGATCAAGGAGTCTATATCTTTAATCACAATAGGGAGACCTCTTCTTTTAAAGAATTCAATGAGTTGGTTCCAGTTATCTCTCTTACTCTTCATACCTTCTCCGTAATCAAAAGAGAACATTTGTATATCTGCTGGAAAGTACCTTGAAAAGATCTCTGCTATTAGAAATCCGTTATTGAAGGCTCTCTTTGGGTTTTTCACACTAAAGGAGAGGCTGAGACTTTGCACCCATTTGATAACTTCTCTAGGAAGACTTGACATTTAAATTTTATAAGTTTGAATTTATAATTCTATTTTGAAAAATAAAATTGGGGTTTTGGGGTTTTGGGGTTTTGGGGTTTTGGGGTTTTGGGGTTTTGGGG